AACAATCTGCGTTATGCAGATGACACAACCCTGCTTGCTGAAACTGAGCACTTACTGCAGAGGGTCAAGGACTGCAGCCTTCTGTATGGACTGAGGCTCAGTGTCTAGAAGACAAAGATTCTCACCACTGGACCAATTGTTAGCGTCAGGATGGATGGCGAAGAGATTGAGATTGTTCACAGCTTCACTTTGCTCGGCTCCACGGTTAACACTCTTGGCACCAACAGCCAGGAATCAAAAATCGTATTGCGTTGGGAAAGCCTGCTGTTAGGAACCTCTCTAAAGTACTCAAGAGCAACAGTGTATCTCTGGAGACTAAGGTGCGCCTGATACAGGCCATAGTCTTTGCAATCACTTGTTATGCATCAGAGAGTTGGACAATGACTAGGGGGCATAGAAGGAGAATTGATGTCTTCGAACTGTGGTGCTGGAGAATAGTATTGAATGTACCATGAACTGCCAAGAAAACAAACAGATTCATCCTGGAGAGGGTTAAACCAGGCTACTTCTTGGAGTCAGGGATTCTGGGGCTTCGTCTGACATACTTTGGACATGTTATAAAGAGCGACAGGTCCTTGGAGAAGGACATCATGCTTGGTAGGGTGGAGGGACAGCGCAGGAGGGGAAGACCCTCTCTGAGGTGGATTGATTCAGTGACTGGGGTAATCGGGATGGGTATATCAGAGGCAATGCGAATGGCACAGGATAGAGCAGGGTTTAGGGCTGTTGTACATAGGGTCGCTATGAGTCACAAACGACTCGACGGCATATAACAACAACAACAACTTTGATCTTAAAATGGGAATGAATTAGATACAGTATTAGTGGAGTTTTCATTAAGATGTTAGAAGACCTGGACTCTGGTTTCGTCTCTATTTTTATTAGCTGTGTGATCTTCGGCAAGTCACTTTATCTCTTTGGTTCTTAATCGCATATGTCTATAAAAATAGATGCAGAGCTTCTTGAAGCTTCCTGAACTTTTAAAATATCTTTTTATTTAAATATATGCTGCTATCAAGTCTGGTTTTATGTTGTCTTTGAGGAAGTAAATAAGTCATTTTAATTTCAAGTCCAGCTTTTGGTCACATCTGTTTATAGTTTCTTTTTATTTTCCTCAAGCACCCTGTAAAAAGTTCAGAGATTAGGGATGTCCTAAAGCCAATTATTAAACAGAAATGTCTACAATTGACTATTAAAATATGTAACTCTGATAGCACTATACTTTTAATAAAGAGCGTAAGACTGTTCTAATTTATTTTAGTGCCAAGATAACATTTTTAAGCAGTGTTTCTTAGTCTGTGATGGAGATTGAGAAAGATTTAATTAATGAAGATTTCTCTTCTGTGAACTAGCAAGTAACTCTTACATTGCACATTTAGAATTGTACTGTTTAAAGATGATTTTACTGCTTATTTTGCTTCTCTTTTTACCACTCCCTACCTTACCCTCCAAAAAGTTAATGTTTGGAACTCACACAGCTGCTTTGCTGGAGAAAAACCTGAAGCTCTGCCCCTGTAGTGATGACACCACCTCTAAGGCAGTTGCCTGTCACATGAGGCCACTGAGTCAGAATCTGCTCAGTACACTCAGCAACAGTACTGTTTAAATTTAAATTTTTTTTTCCCCTTGGTTTTTCACTGTGAAAATACAGCTTTGATAGATTAATACAAAAAAGTTATGTCAAGGGCCTTTGTATCTTCCAAAAGCTTTCAATACTATTATCACCCATCACCTGCTTCAAATGGGAAAAATTACTACAGAGATCACACTCAATCCATCGGAAGAGGCATCAAGCATCAAGTGATTCAAGAAATCAGCTTCGAAACTATAGTTCTATTCTAAAACAGCCTCAGAAATACCTGGATTAGAACTTCCTTCCATTTTTTGTTTTCTTTTTCTCTTTATAATGTGAATTTTTTTTTATGTGTGTTAACATGTTCCATTAATATATTCTCTACTACTAGAGTATCAAAGACTTTAATTTCTTCTGGATTCATCTCCTTTTCAGGTTTAAGGGAAATGTCTTTCCACCCCTGCCCACCCCCCCCAGGTGTTAGGAGATTTGGGGAAACTTAAGTATCATTCTTTTGGAGGTTTCTAATCAATTTAGTTACTTCTAGTGTGGTAACATTTCCTTTGATCTTATTTAATATTTTAACTTCATTTTCTGCACCTCTTCCAATTTTAAAGTGCCCTTGAGATGATGTGGCCGGAAAAGCATGTGGTATTTGCAGTGCACCTTTAATTTAAATGAGCAGGAAAGTTGAATTTTCTTCCCATGACATGCCTGAATCTTATACGTTATGTTGATCCTCTAGAATGTAGCGGCACCTTGTGTTACCATCTTGTAGAAATAGTTTTAGGCTCTTTACTATTTTTTACTTAATAACTTATCATTGCAAATATTTTACATAACACCTTCCTGTGTCTGTTAGTAACATTTTTCCATGGGAAAACCTGCCTGCCACTTCACTGAATTCCTATGCCACTTATCTAAAGTCTTGTAACATTTTTTTCTTATATGCTGTTCTACCTGTTTGCTACTTAATGACTAAGAAAAGCTTAGTGCTATAAGTAAATCTGGAAATGTCACTGTACAAGCAGGTCTCTTTATTATTTATATATTATAAAGTGATGTTAAAATGCTAATCCTTGGGAATCTCTGTTTATTTTTACTTTATTTCTATTTTGAAATAATTTCATTATCTGTAATTCTTCCTTTCATTCAAGATGATTGATCTTTATAAGTAGTCTTTGATGTGGAAATATAGATGACAACCACTTATTCTTCTTAATTTTCTTTTCTCTCTCTCTTATTCCCCAAAATAGTACCCTCCCCAAGGCAACTTTACAGAATTGGTTGGAAGACCTGAGGCTACTCATTTTGCCCCTAATTGCCTGTTAGCTGTCTTCTTTGTTCTGTGGCCTATACTTGTTGAAACAAATGACTTTCTCTTTTATTTCCTGTTATCTTTTTTAAACTTGTTAAGTTGGTAAAGGTTTAGATAGCTGATCCATTTTCAATAATTCACTATTCAACAATACAGTATGAATTTTCAACAATTCATTATTTAACAATTCACACATTTTGTTCCATGCTACTGATATAGTATCACTCATATAATTTTCTCTTTGTGTTTTCCATTTCCATCTTTCCTATCCCTCTCTGCTTTCCGAATGTTGTCCTTGGGCTCTGAAAACCTGCTGGAGTGTCAGCTATGAGTCAGTTCTGACTCCGTGGCAGACAACAACAAATCCTTCCCTGCTTTTGAATGTTTCCATAGATAGTGGTTGGTTGTTCTAAGGAGTGTGTATCACCTTATAGATTTGTCTTGTAATTTGGTCAGAAACTGAACCATTGAGGTGAGTTTCATTCCAAGCCTGAAAGCTTTCTCAAGGTCACAGGCTTGGGTATTCTACCAGTCTGTTACTGACTAGTGAAGACTGATCTTTTTTGTGATTTTGAGTTTTGTTCCACATGCTACTCTTACTCTATCTAGGACTTCTAAAGTGTTCCTTTCAGAGTGGTAGCTATGAAAAAGAGCAGGTTTATGAATTGACTAGAGACTTGTATAGAAAGTCAAATGGCATACCTAAGATTTTAAAAAGAACATTGATAGATTTATCAGACCTGCTTTCTCATTATAGAGACCATGTTCATGGCCCATCTGTTAGTTTATAATGAACTTCTTAAGACTCTGCACTGTTATAAATTATTTAAAATACAAATATATTCAAGTAGATTGGGGTGGTAATAGTCTATTCGTCATATAAATTTTGGACTAGACATTTTCTTTTACCTTCAGTGTATCATAGAGAATTATATTTCCCCCCTCATTGCTTTATAGTCAATTAATTAGAAAAGTTTTTTTTAAAAAAGAAAACCCAGGATACTTTCATTTCTTTCAGAAAATCTTCTTTCCCCCCTATAATAATGGCTTTACATAAATAATATACTAGAATGTCATTTTAACTATGCAGTTTATAGATAAAGAACTGAGTTTTTAAAAGGTTAGATGACTTTCAGGTCATCAGATAAGAATTTTTAGAGTAAGTCTTTTAAGATTCTAATACTCTTGTTTAACCATCATGTTGCTTAATTTTACTCTGGAATAAATGACATTAAGGCGCAGGATCGTGGGGCATGGAAATAATTGGCTGAGCCTATAAAACTAAACTTACTTAAGATGGTCAACTAGTCTGTGCATAAGAGTATTGTATTGCTTGACTCTAAAGGAAGAGTAGAAGGCTTTTTAAAAGTTTAAATTAATCAATATAGTTCACAGTGGGATTTCAAGAGCTATATTTGAGCTATTTTTTAAATTTAATGTCATCAGAACATACTGGATTTCCAAATTAATGTGATTTGTACATCTTGTACTATTAAGTTTATCTCTAACTTACCTTAATGTGGCCTTAATTTTATTTCTAGGTAGTAGGCCTGTATCGACTTTGTGGTTCAGCAGCGGTCAAGAAAGAACTTCGAGAGGCTTTTGAGAAAGATAGCAAAACTGTTAGTCTGTGTGAAAACCAGTACCCAGATATAAATGTAATAACAGGTAATAACTAAATTTTGTTTTATATACTCATTTTGGAAAGACTACATTTTCAGGAATGAGAACTGAAATATAATTGGATAACCTAATTTTTGTTTGTTTGTTTGTTTTATTCTGTGGTTTACTTTCCATCTTTCATAAATACTGTTGTTTTCTGTGGGGAGAAGGCAAAATGTCTTCCCTGCCCTGAAACAGCCAACTAAGTTGGGGTGAGGAAGTAAGACCTATACTGAAGCAGCTGTAGTAGCTAGCAGAAGGCAAAGGTACCTTCATAGAGGTGTAAATAAAATGCCACTGAGATTAGTTTAGAGCTTAGATAATGTAAAGGATGTTAACTATACTTGTTTAGCAGAGAGAATCTGTTTTTGAACAGGGGAGCGAAATGTCCAGAGATGGTCTTCTAGAATACTCATTTAGCAATTACTTGTGATTGAGTAGAACTGTAAGAGAGTGAAGGCAAAGGTCAGTTAGGAAGCTTGACAGTGGTCTCAGCAAAATGTAATGAATACTGAGGGAAGTTTCTGGCAGTAAACGTAGAATTGGAAAGATTGGCCCAGACACAAATGACTGAGTGTTTTCTTAGATCTTATTGTCTGAAAGAATAATACCGTATCTATTAGCGAAAGTGGAGAGGAGAGTGATTGCATTTTGTGGGAAAATGTTGACTTTGAATTGAGTTTCAAATGCATTGAATTTGAATAAGCAGTAGGAGACTTAAGTGGTGGTATGTCAAGCAGAATTGAAAATGCCCATCTGTCCAAATGACAGACTAGCGTAGATTATGAGGTGTTGCTTATCACCTCTAGTGGCATGAGCATAACATGTTATGCTACTTAACAGGAAGATCAGTGGTTCAGATCCACCAGTTGCACCAAGAGAGAAAAATGGGCAGTTTTCTGCTGTAAAGATTTGCAGTTTCCATTTATGGTACTTTTGTGAGAAGAAAGAATGTACTTCCCACCACAGTTTTGTTCTAGCTAAATATGTTTTAGACAGATTTATTATTTCACCTGCCATCATGACATGGAAACCAGAGTTCACAAACATGGACCTGCATTCACATCTGCTTGGTTCTTCTCCTGTTTGCTTCTTCCTCCTCCTTCCTTTCCTTCTTCTTCACACATTTTATTTATTTTTACCTTATTCTTAGCTTTAAATTAGAAATTTCAATAGTACCTATAGTACAGAACTTATGTAAGACATAGTGTCTTGAATTTGTATGGCACATAACATAGTAGCTAGCACACAGTAAACAAATGATAGCTGTTAATAGTACTGTATAGTAAATCTAAGGCCTCTGCAAAGAGTTTTCTAACTTCACTTAGAAATTTAATCAACAAAGATGGAATCATTTTATTATAGTTAAATAAATTAAAATTGTCAGCAACTTGGTGGAAATATTTTTATTATAAAAATGAACATAAGACATTTTCATAGTTACTTCTCCAACTAGATGGTAACATTGGAAACAGGAGTGGCATCCACTTCCTAAACAACATTCCTCTGGAAACTCTATGAACTTTATTAAATGATGAGTTGTGCTCGATTTGATGGCAATAGACAACAACAGATGGTAACATAATTTTATAGGCCCTACCAAATAATTAGGGAGTTACGGGGACTTAATGCTAAGAAGTTGTGTTGCCCACAGAAGTTACACAGATCAAATCTACCACCTTCTCCATGAGAGGAGGAAGAGCAGTCTCCTTCATATGATTTACCATTCCTGAAAGCCCCTCTGGTGGGGTCTTGCTGGTAGACAACAATTGAATAACTTGGTATCTTTGTTGCTGCAGTTTGTCACTAAGCCAGAACCAACTCAGAGTTATTTTTCTCTTGATTGTATCTATATATATAAAACAAAATCTATTTTATGAACAAATTATAGAGAAATTTATGAATAACCATTCTCAGAACAGTGGCTAAATTAATGTATATATTTGCCTTAATAAAATTTTCTCTTAGAAATAAAAATTACACTAAATGTGTACAAATTACAGAGATGAAATGGTGTAATTTGAATTGATTTTTTTGCTTTTTTTAAATTTTTTGCTTTTAAGGGAAGGTTCTTGGTTTTGAAAATTGGTAGCATATGCACAGTATATGAATCGTAGCTCAAGGAATATTTTATAACAATGAAAGTTTTATAACTTTAACTGAGTTTCTATAATTTATGATTGTATATTTCTTGGCTCACTATCCTTTTGACTATTTCACTTTAGTAATGGAAAAGAACTAGAGCCATTTTCTGGCTTGATAAAATGCCAATGAAATGATTTAAGAGTTGCCCGAGAAATATCTTTCAAATTGCAATAAATTATACAGAAGGTCTCATAGTGGCTCAAAACATTGATTTGGGTAATTGGTCAGGAATGATGTTGCCACATGTGTTTGTTCCAGTGGAACTCGCATATTTGAGTAAACTCTGAAAATGATAATTAACAGTCTGATAGATTTAAAAATGAGAATCAAATGAAGTAAATAATGCTGTTCACTTAGAGTTTAATGTGTGCTAAGTAGTTGGGTTGCTGCATAGAATGAAACTGTGGCATATCTACATCGTGAATACTGTGCAACAGCCCCCCCAAAACCAGTTGCTTTCAAGTTGATTCTGACTTATGACCCCATTTGTGTCAGAGTAGAATGGTGCTGCTCCAGAAAGTTTTCAAACTGATTTTTTCAGAATAGATTTCCAAGCTTTTCAACTAAAGTGCATCTGGGTAGATTTTCCTTCCTCCAGCAGCCAGGTGTTAACCCCTCGAAATTCCTTTTGTTATTTTGTACTGTTGAGTCAGAACCCACCCATGAGCTGACCCTCCAGTGGGCTTTCAGAGGCAGTTTAATCATACTGGAGGAGATTGCCCATTTTTCTCCTTTGGACCAGCTGATGGATTTGAACCACCTGCCTTCCTGATTGCAGCACAACTTCCTAACACTCGGTCACCAGAGATCACTCCTATACCCTCTAAAACATCATGCTGGGATCCCAGGAATGTGTGGTGCTAGATAGAAAACTCTAAACCTTGTTTAGAGAAAAAACCAAAACATACAGTCATTCACTATTAAATTACCCTTAAGCTTCAACATAAGTAGATAAAATGAAAAATTGTGTTTGTTTTGCTAAATACTATACACAGAAATAGAAAATTTTTAGTTATTCACTCTGAATTTAATGTACAGTATTTGTTAATAATTTGCCTTAGTCACTATTTGTGACACAGTGTCATTGATTTCACATGAAAGCAAGATTCTACTGAAGATCATCCAAAAACGATTAGAACAGCACATCAGCAGAGAACTGCC